AGAAAGTATAACCAAAGATTAAAAGGGCCAATATAATTTCATAAGAGTCCATATGCATAGCTAAAGGCTACATAACAAGCAACAATGCCAGACAAGCGATACCTTCTTTTGAGTTGTTGGCCAAGGTGGCCAAGGGATTCCCAGATAGTAACCCAGCATAGAACTGGGAAAATGAACAACAGACACCAGTCTTATCCAAAGGACTATTGACAACTGATTACCACTAGATGAGGAACAGCTATCCCTCCTGAAACAAAGACCTCTAGATAGGCTGACTAGATTCACTAGAAGGGCAAGTAGTGGGGAATGGCTGGGGGTGCTGACAACACAGCAGACAGTAGCAGGGATATCAGCGTATAAGGGCTCTAGTGGAGGGGAGGGAGGCTATGGGAGGGTGCTATCTGGGAAGTGGGTGTAAAAATAAATAAATTAAATGAACCCTCCACAAATGTCTGCATAGCAAAAAGAAAAAAATAACACTATTTAGTATATAATGTTGTTCTGTGAAGGATTATGTGAAGACTGTTACTTAAGCTGAATTAAAGAACTTATGAGAAGATTTAAAATTAAGTAACTAAATAAATTACATGTAAATCTCTTTTATTATCTTTTTGTATTGTTTAAATTTGGTTTTTCTAAAAGATGTTTTTATACTTTGATTAGAGGTCTTTGAAGTACCTTTTTTCTAATTAGAATAAATTTTGTACTCCAAAACACTTTATTTCCTAACATTTAAAAAAATATTTTTTTATTATTTTTATTTTATGTGTATGAGTGTATTGCCTGCATGTGTGTAAGTGCACCCGTGTCATGCAGTCCCCGAGCAGTTCAGAAGAAGGCTTCAGACTCCCTGGAATTGGAGTTACAGACAGTTGTTAGCCACCATGTGGGTGCTGGGAATCAAACCCAGGTCCTCTGCAGGAACAGTCAGTGCTCTTAACTGCTGAGCCATCTCTCTAGCCTCAATTTCCTAACATTTTTGGAGGGGTAAAAAATAAGACATGTAATTTACTTTTACTTATTTATCTTATAATAAGTAATCTAAATTATTTTAAATTTTAATAATTTATAGGCTGGAGTTTTTCTGTTTGGAAAATCCCATCATGGGTAGATATTGGTAATTTTTTCTAATTTAGTAATTATACCTTTTTTTTTCATTATCAAGCTGGAAAAAATTGTGATGTTATTAGTGATAGAAAATATTTGCATTAGTCCTGATTCTAGTAAATGCTTTTAAGCCTTTTTCATTGATAATAACATTTACTATACTTTTTTCTCTTTAGAACAATTGCTGGAATTAGCTTGTTCACTTAAAAAAAATGACTTTCATATTTATGTTTTTAAATAAGAATGATTTGTAATCACTGTTGTGTGTCCGTAAAATCTTTGCTTTTGTAACAAGCTTTTGTTTCCTTTATATTTGTGCATAGATTATCAGTGTAAGATTGTCACTAATGAAAAAGTAGCTCTTCAGTTATGTACCAGGAGACTTGTCACAGGTCTTTAGATATTAGAGAAAAGGTCTGGACTTTGGGGAGGTGAGAGCTTTAATCTCAGATGCCCTTACTCTTATAAATAAAGAGCGTAGCGAGTGAAAATATGATAAGCTTACATTGTACTGTTTGAGATTAAAATACCAGGGATCAGTGATTAAAGGATTGGTGGTTTAATAGTCTATAAAAGTGTTCCTTTCTTGAAGAAGCAAGTATAATCTGCTTTACACTGCTTTATAGGAGTGGCAGATCATAGGTGTTGAAGAAAGTTTCACTGGGACTTCTCTTTATCTTTATAGCAACTAATCCCAGAGAGAGAAACTGAAGGAAAGCTGCTTTCTCTACCCATATTTGTGTGTGTGCAGTCTGGGGGTTACAAGGGGGCGTAAAGCAGGCACTGGATGCCACAACATACGTGTGGAGGTCAGACATGAACTTGCAGGAGCAATTACTGTCTTTCCACCATGCGGGTCTTGAGGATGGAACTCAGGTCTTCAGGTTTGCTGGCATGTCCTTTTATCCCTGAGCCATCTCACCATCCCATCTACACATATTTTAAAAAATATTTTATTTATTATGTTTATTTTATGTGTATGAGTATATTGCCCTGTGTGTATGTAAGTGCACCCACGTCATGCAGTGCCCATGGAAGTTATAAGAGGGTATTGGAATAACTCTGGAACTGGAGTTACACACAGTTGTTAGCCACCATGTAGGTTCTGGGAATGGAACCCAGGTCCTCTGCAAAAGCAACTTAACCATTGCTCTTAACCACTGAACCACCTCTCCAGCCCCCACCTATCAATACTTTTTACAACAGATATTTTGACAAAAAACTATTGACAATTATGACAATTAACTCCTCTAGAATTATCATGTTGAAGTATGTAAAATATTTATTAAATATGTAGTTTAAACAATTTGCTTCTGACACATATTTAATATAGTTGATATTTTACCCTAGTAACCTTAGACACATCAGTATCTAATGTAAGCTCAAAATTTCTTTAAGATCTCCAATTTTATTTATTTACTTGTTTACATATTTATTTATTTATTGGTGTGTGTGTGTGTGTGTGTGTGTGTGTGTGGTGTACATATGTATGGTGTATGCAGGTGTGGGTGCCTGGTTGTACAGAGGGAGCAGAAGAAGACTTGCAGTGTCCTGCTCCCTGACTTATTCCCCTGAGACAGGGTCTCTCACTGACCCTGCAGCTACTCTGACAGTCAGCAAGCCCTAGTGATCTTCCTGTCTCTGCCACCCACAGCCCTGGGGTTATAAGCTTGTATGGGGTTATAAGCGTGTAAGCTTGTATGCATTTTATATGTGTGCTGGGATCTGAACTCTGGTCCTATTTTAGGCAGCAATTTCTCTTATCCACTGAATCATCTCTCCAATCTTGAAGAAGTTTCTCTGGTTCTGAAGTTCCCTGCAAATGCCACTGCTCCATAATAGATTTATGCTAATTAAAAATATCTTTTACATGTAGAAAATATCTGTACAGTGACTTTACTCGTGGGTTGGGTGATCCTCTAGGCTACCTCTGAATATTGATGGGAAGATAGGAGTTCCAATTTGAGAAATAAATTTAAGCCTCTACCTTAGTCTCCTTCTAAAGCTGTGTTCAAATTGGGAGGATCTTTTGATAGTCCATAGAGCTCTGCCTCTGTGAAAAAGTGTTTCAGAACTCAATGAGAAAGATAGGCATACTGTGTATCCCTGGTGCTTAGCACATAGAGTTTAACAGGAGCTTATTGAATGAACTAATATTTTATAGAAAGAGGTAACCAGCTAAAGTGCTTACAGAAGTTTTTAGTGGTATAGGCACCTTTGCTTCTGTTTCACTTTTTATCTTGCTAGACAGGATATTTGAGTTATGGGAAAGTATTCACTAAAATACATGCAGAATTGGGGAAAATGGTCACTTGTATGTTTTGTTGGAGGACTTTATCATTTCATAATTTCCAAGATATTAATACTGTCAGTGTTAGAGAAGAATAATTTTCTGATGTAGAATCTCTAATTCATTCTTTAAAACAGCTAATTTAAAGGCTTGTTTGGAAAGGGTTTTATGAAAGCGCCCCATGAGACTGGCCCACATCACTGTCCTGTCCTGCCACCAACACTCTCAGTGTATTGTGGTTGTGGGAGAGGTTTCTGATATATAAGAAAGTATCTCATTGCTTTTGCTGGGACTTCTCTTCCCTTCTCATGCAGATCCTCAATAGGAATCCCATAACAGAGCAAGTGAGTGAGAGAGAGAAGATTGTGTCAGGATATTCTCCCAGGCCAGAAGCCTAACTCTTGGGTTCTGATGCACCAGGTCCAACCAACGGCCAATTCCAGAAGCGAATGGCAGTAACAATGGAAAAAGAAATCGTTTTTATTATGGCTTCACAAAGAGAAAACTGAATCTAACATCTGAAAGTCAGTCCTAGAGTGGCTAACAACAAACAGCATGGATTTTGTGGCAAGGTGTGTGTGCTCACACAGTTGGCCATCTTAGACAGGATGTGGCTTGGCTGGCATTATCTCCGGATCAGTTAGGTGAGGTCTTGTCAATGATAAAAATGTTCCTGCTTGCCTCTGGGTGGTTTCCAGTCTTGTCATAGGTGATTTATCCACAGACCTGTTGGTCCAAGATGACTACAGGAGAAAACTACAAGATGACTACAGTGCAAGTCTAAACTTTTTTCCAACTTTTAAGTTGCACATTGGACATCTGCAGGCCCAAGTAGAGAGTCGGTGGTTTAACAAGAACAACCTCTGGAGAGTCCCTACTTCTCACACTACAGCTTTTCATAATCATCACAGTATATCAGTTATCACTCTGCAACTAGCATTTTAGTGGTTAAATGCTTGAGTCCCAGGCATGTTGTTTACTCATTATAGAAAATAGTCCAAACCGGGCATGGTGGCACACGCCTGTAGTCCCAGCACTTGGGAGGCAGAGGCAGGCGGATCTCTGTGAGTTCAAGGCCAGCCTGGTCTACATAGTGAGTTCCAGGACAGCTGGGGCTACAGGGAGACCCTGCTTCAAAAAGACAAAAAAAAGAAAAAGAAAAAGAAAATAGTCCAATGTGAGTGTGACTTTGTCATTTTCCAGACTGGGAAACTTTGCCCTGTGAAGAAATCACCTTTGAGTTCTCAGGAAGGATTTGGATCCCCTGGGACTTCAGAGCCTCTTGCTTTCAATCAGTGATCAGTGTTTGAAATTATGAAATTTTAAAGCTCAGGCAAAACGGGACGAGGAAGCAAAGCCAAGCTGCTTAATACACTAGGGCAATACGAAAAATAAACTGTTACTTCTCCAAAGTGAAGTAGACAGTAAGTGAGGGAATTTGAGTCATAGAGCCAAAAGCACTTGTCAGCAAGGGGTAGACATCTTATCACTGAGACAGGAGCTTCACCTTCCTTCCAGCATGCACACACTTTGCTCCCTTCCATATGGGAGAGTTCTGAGCATGACAAAGCTTTATAGAAAGGATGTCATCCCATCTGAGCTGAATACATTGGATTGTTTTCTTTTCTGTGTTTACATGTATTTTAGATTTATCAAGTGAAAATTCAGTGCCATAATGAATAGTTCTTGGAAATAAAATTGTATCTCCTTAATTTTTTAAAATTGTGTGTGTGTGTGTGTGTGTGTGTGTGTGTGCGCGCCAGTACCCATACAGTTCAGAAGAGAATGTTGAATCCTCTGGAGTTTCAGGTATTGTAAGCAATCCAACTTGGGTTCTTGAACCCAACTCCAGTTCTCTCCAAGAGCCACGTGTGCTCTTATTGCTGAGTCATCTCTTCAACCCTTCCTTAAATTTTTTAAAGCTTTGTTTCATATATATATATATATATATATAAATATATATATATATATATTCACACACACACACACATATATATATATATATGCATAAATACACACACAGGCTGGCCTTGAACTCATAGAGATCTGCCTGCCTCTGCCTCCCAAGTGCTGGGATTAAAGGCGTGTGCCACCACGCCCGGCCCATCATAAATATTTTTAATGAGAATTTTTTAATTCAAAGACACTGGATCTCTTTAAATTTAGGTGGTTTTTTTTTGGGGGGGGGGAGGGGCTCACTGACAGCCTCTAAGTCAGTTGTTATGGTGCAGTAAGAAGTGATGTTTGATACAATATGGATCTTAAGTCTCTTCTAGACTGTTGACTCCCGATGGCAAGGACCTTTCTGTATAGTGATCTCTGACCCCTTGATCATGCGCCTAGACCAGTGACTAGCACACTGTATGTACTGAGTGGTTTTCTTGTAATTTTATTTCTTTTCCTCAACTCTACTTTTTGTCACTTAAAATATTCAGTTGTGCTTAGATGTAATCAGTATTCTAGTTTATGTGTCCTATCACTTACCAGGTTGCTCAAACTACCTAAATTCATGCTCAGAATCACTTTGCAAGTGATATTAAAGGGAATATAATCCTGAGTTCTGTGGACTTCCCAATTGTTAGAAAATGTTAGATCAGGATTGACCAGGGGAATGTGAAAATGAAAGATGAGAGACGACCTCAAGGAGCAGATTGTTCTTCATTAAGGACAATGAAGGTGGCAGCACTTGGGATTTGAAATTGTATCTTCAGGCACAGTTGGTTGGCTGCTTATATGGGGTGGGGGATTGGGAAAGGAGGAGGTGGGTAGGGCTAGTGCCCTTGACATGGTTTGGAGGGGTTTTGAGAAAATAGGGCTCTTAGTGGTTTTCCCAGATAACACAGTCTCCAGGTTGGGTGTTTTATATAGTTCCTGGGTTGGAAATTAGCTCACATCTGAGGTTTACCTAGTTTGAGGCCCTTTGGAAGTTACTTCAGGGCCCTTTTAAGTCCAGGCATTTATCCTTCACCAATGTTGAAGTTTAATGCCCGAATGTAACTGAGTAGATTTTAATATTTATACAACACTGTATCTCACTAGGCAAGAAAGGGCAATTTGGGAGAGTGTCTGTGTTACTGCTATTAACTTCATGCCTCATCTCTACCCTACCCCACCCTACATTGCCTGTTCTTCCAGTTCACCTTATCAGCAAGCAAGATAATCTCCCAAGGAACATAATCTAGGTTCTCCTGCTTTTGTCTCTTAGCATTTCATTCTCCACCCCTTCCTGAGGTCACAGGAATCTTGTTAGACTTTTCCTGTCCCCAAATTCCTTACCTTAGGTTTCTAAAGGTGCTCTACTTACCTTCTGTTACAATCCAAACACCCCTGGAAAGCTTCTTTAGGTCCTCCCCTCTCACCACCCACTGCTCCTAATCCGGATACCAGCTCTAGTGTGCCACCACAATTCTTCAGAAGCAACAGAATTCCCTGTTCTTTGAATCTGTACCAGCAGCTGGCTTTGCAGGAAATGTGCTTCATGTTTTCTTTACCCAGTTGCTCTGTATTTCTCCCTATCAGCAGGAGTCCATGGTGGTGAAGTCTACTTCTACAGCCTATCTTTGTTCCTAGTGTTCACTGGATGGGCTTTTAGTGAGTGTCATGCAGTGGGTGAGCCAGTGAGCGAGTGAGTGAAGGTGAGCCACATCCTCCTTGTTCTTCTTTTGACGGTCTCCCAAGTTTTGATTCTGTTTTCCTTGTCTGTTTCTTCCCTCGTCCTTTCTTTCTCTCTCTTTTAGCCACCCCTCCCTGTGTCTGTCTCAACTCTCGGAAGCACAGACCTGGTCGACAAAACCTCCAGTGTTTACCCTGCAGAATCCATTTCATACTCAGTCATATCTACCCATGAGCAGCCCTTGTTCTGTCCACCTTCCCAGTGCGTTCCTTACCTTCCTCCCTGTCCACTCCAATTCTACAGCCTTCGTCCTTTCCCTGTCTCACGGTACCATACAGTCTGTGTTCATACTACACCCTTAGCTAGATGTAATACCCAGTGAATGAACAGAATATCCCCTGCTCCACAGCTCACATTAACCTTCTGTCCTACATCTGAATATGCCAGTTTAAGTTTTCCCTCCATGGTAGTATGTATTACATTCCTCCTTTTATATATAGCCTTTGGTTTTGCTGAATTTTCCATATGTGTCTCCTTGAGGATGAGAGCTGAATTAGTTCAACCTTGAAAGTCACAGGCAATCTAGACCAAATGCATGGTGACATTCTGTCAGTGTAGGTGGAGCGTGTACAATGGCAGACTTTGACTTGAAACACTATTATGCCACAGGCATCTGTTATTTTTGTTAATCCTTTTCCCAGCTTCCTAGACAATAGACAGATAATAATACCCAATTTACAATGTGTTTATGTAGATTAAATGCAATAATATATACAGAGCACATACCTTAAAACAACAGCCCAGGGCAGAAATGCAGTAAGCGCCATCGCTGCTGCTGTTACTGTTACTATAAATTCTAATATTGGAAGATGATCTTGTTTCATGTCTCAGTATTAATGAGTTTCCTTTAACTATGTGGCTAATTTCTAGCCGAATATAGTTGAAGCTTATTAGCTTTGCTATTAAATGAGAGACCTTTCTTCATTACCTTGCAGTCTTCTATTACTACTTTTTCTGATGTTAGAACATTTTCTGGCCAAGAACTCTTTACTTTTTCAGCTTTTCCACTGACAGAGGACCCAAATGCTGCCAGTATTTGTGAAAAGATTGTCCTCTGCATCCCAGTCTTTTCCACACATTTTTATGTAGAGAGTATGATTGAATTCCCAGTGGTTGCAGTTACTGGAGCCTGCCATGTATTCCTGTTGGGGATATTGGAACACTGGAGGGTGTTCCTTGGCCTGGCAGATTTGTAACACTCCCATGTTCCACATTGTTTAACTCTTGTTGAATGGATATTTTTTCAGACAAGTGGCAGAATCAGAAGATCTAGTCTTTGTAACAAAGTAAGCACTAAGGCACTGCAGGTGTAGCTCAGTTGGTGGAGCTCTTGCCCAGCAAAGCCTTGGGATAGATCCCCCGTGCAGCATAAGAGGGCCAGAAGTTCAAGGTCATTCTCTGCTACATGGTAAGTTTGAGGCTAGCCTAGATTACATGAGAACACATCTCAAAAAAATTGAAGTCAACAACTGACCAGCTTAGGGAAAGGACATCCAATTATAAACCACTAGAAAAATACAGTCCAGACCACTCTTTGAGTTAAGTGTCTTGTGCTTATTATCACTTAGTGTTTCTTGGAATTAAAACCTTGAGAAAATGATTCACTGTGAAGAAACAATCTCATTGCTCCTTTTCCAACTGAAATAAAGAATTCATCAAGGGAAAAAAATATATGCAGCAAAAAAGCAACAAGAATTGACATTTGGTGATTAAAACGTTCGTCATCTCTCACACTGGTAAAAACAAAGTTAGAAAGAATACCAGCAATCAGCATAAGGCCCAGACACTCGCAGAAGAAAGACCATGGCCAAAGTCCCGAGGACCAGAACAGGAGCAAATACCAGTAAACGGTTCTAACAGCTAATGCTAACGTGGTGATGGTGGTGGAGAAACATTGAACAGGCAAATTGTCAGGTCCTATGTCAGCAATGTTTCTTACTCATATTATTGTCTTTAAAATCCCTATGAAAGGAGTGCTATTATTTCTAGGTTTATTTTACAAGTAAAGGAGCTAGGATTGCAATAAATAGCCTTGCAGTGTCACACAGCTTACTGATAGAAGCAGGTCTTAAGCTGACATTGAACCCATGGTCAGTTCTCTTAATCCCAAAGCTGTACTGGTAGACTACAACCTGTGTCCATGAGTGAGGTTGGAGGAGACCACTTCCTAGGAATGCAGCAGCTGTAAGCCAGAGCTGGACCACCACCAACCTGACCCCACTTCCAAAAGCTTTACTGTGGCTGGTTTATAGAGTGACAGAGACAATTGTGCTGATTTCATTATGGTCGTGATAGCATTTTAACCTTCATCAGGAATGAGAGGGAGTTAAATATATGATTTAAATACTGTGTTTCTCAAAGCTAGTTTCTGGAGAGCTTCTCTGCCAGCCATCCATGTGCATGCACAGCATTGGAGAC